ACAGCATTCCTCCACACGGTGGTCAGGTTCCTCTGCCCATGCTTGGCATTCTAGAGTTTTCATCAACTACAGAACAAAGGGGTCTGAAGGCATATGTTGGCTTTGTTACTCCAGTCCTCTGTAGCTATGGGTGCTAAAGCATCAACCAATAGCAAGTCGAAAGGGGTTTTGTTGTTATTGATTTTCTTTTTGAAACAGTCTCGTGTGTCCCAGGCTGGCTTCAAACCCACGATGCAGCCAAGGATGACACTGAACCCCAGATCCTCCTGTCTCTACCTCTGACATGCTGGGGTCACAGCAGCCCAGGTCACACAGTGCTGGGGAGGAACACACAGTAGCAGGTACCAGGCAACCACCCTGAGAACTGAGTCCCAGCTCAGACCCATCTTGTACTTCCTAAACTGTGAAAAATCCCCAAGTTCTACGACAAACAGACCCAAAGAATCCAGTGGCAGGGAATGATCAGAAACAACCTAATGTTTACCAGCCAGGCCTGGTGAAAGACACACGGTAAACCACAGAATGGAAGTCTAGACGGCCATTAAAAATTTAAAGAAGATTAATGCTTATTGACAAGGAAATGAGCGTACAACTTAGGGTTGAATTAAAGGAGTGAGTTTCTGGCTAGCACACATGTGGGATCCAGGTCCAGCACTGCATGCAAATGTCAGGAAAATGCCAGGGCTCCTACCATCCAAAGGCTGGGAGAGGTGAACCTGGGCTGCGACCTGGAGTCTATGCTCTTGCTAAACTTCTCCTCTTTAATGTGAAGGTGTATAACTTCAATATCAATGGGGAAAAAATCCAAACCAAGGAAGCCTGCTGTTTCCCATTAAAGCCAATCTGATTCTTTTCCATCCCATGTATAGACCCAACCTGAGATCTTTAGGGACACACACTGCACCTGGAGGGATACGTCTCCCCAGGCCCTGCATAGCAGGCGGGTGGATGTCCAGCAACACAAGCAGGCTTGACTGTTAGATCACATCTGATCGTTAGTTGCATTTCCTGACTGTTTTTTCTCCCTACAATGGTGTCTGTGAGTCAAAGCTTATGAACACATTCTTCCTTCTCCTGAGAGCAGCTACGTTCTCACATTGAAAATGTATTTCAGGGACTAGAGAGACAGCTCATTGGTTATAAACATTTGCTGCTCTTCCTGAGGACCTGAGCTCAGGTCCCAGAACCTACCTTGTGCAGCTCCCAACTGCCTGTAACTCCAGTTCCAGAAGACTCAGTGCTCCTGGGCTCCATCAAGATCCGCAGTCACCTGCACACACTCCCCACCCCCACATACACACAATCTAAAAAAGAAAAACCTATTTCAACCCAAGGCCATATTAACAGGGATAGAATGCCCGAAAGGAAGGCTATAATCGTTAAGAGTTCAGGTTTATGACTGGGAAGTAGTTTGCTCTGCAAGCACGAGAATCTGAGTTTTAAGTCCCAGCACCCGCATTAAAAGTGGGGTGACTGGAGAGATGGCTCAGAGGTTAAGAGCACTGGCTGTTCTTGAGAGGCTCTAAATTCAATTCCCAGCAACCACATGGGGGCTCACAACCATCTATAATGAGATCTGATGCCCTGTTCTGGCCTGAAGGCAGGCATGCAAACAGAATACTGTATACATACATACATACATACATACATACAACTACTACTACTACTACTACTACTACTACTACTAATAATAATAATAATAATAATAATAATAATAATAAATAATCTTAGAAAAATAGGTGTGGCCAAGCACACATTGGGCCCTAGCACTGGCAAGGATGGGGCAGAGAAAGGAGGATTCCTTGGGGCTCACTTGTCAGCCAGTCTAACCCACTCAGTGAAAGACCCTGTTTCAAACAATAGGGGGGCAGTGATAGACGAAGAGACTCTGTTGACCTCTGGCCTCTGCATGGGCCCATATGGGTAAACGCACCTGCAGAGTTAGATTTAGAACCCAGGGTTTTGACCTGGTTTCACCATTTACTGGTTAGCTGTGTCTAAGCCCTTTGCCAGCCTCTCTGTGCTGACTTTCCCATCTGTAAAACAAGCCTAGTAATTCCCCAGCACAGGGATGCTGTGAAGATGAAACACAAGTTCAAGACCGTGTCCCACGCATGGTCAAGTCCAATCGATGGCAGCCCGGATAGTAACAAAACTGCCCTCTCTCAGGACTGGTCAGAGCAGGCCTGCCGTTATGGGCTTGGAAACAGGGATGATAATTTAAGGGGAAATAAAGGCCACCGGCGATAGGAAAAAGGCAGATGGCAAAGCAGCCCAAATCACGTCCCATAAGACACAATAATACATCTCAGAGAAGAAAAGAGGAGATCAGTGGCTGTGCGTATTACCCGAAGGGGAAGCTGGGGGAGGAGCCCCCATTTCTTCCAAGCAGGCTCCATGGCTATAATCCTCTGATCTGAAGTAGTTCACCCCACATCCACAGCCTGAGGCCTGGTCCAATGAGCTCCTTGGGAGAGATTCCAGACATGCCAAGAAAAAGATCATGGCAATCCATCAGCCTGCTCAGTACTCACTGTGAGCAAGAAGCAACCAGTAGGAACCAGAGAAATATTTCCACTGGGGAGAAGGGAAGACTTCCCAGCAGCCAAAATGAACTTCCACAGGAAGTAGTGAGCTTCCTATGTCTAGAAGGCCTTACGGGTGGGAAAGCTCTCCGCCAGGCACTGCCGAAGCTCTGACACGAGAATCTACGAATTCTCTTCATCTAACACTGCTTTCCCTCAAAATGAAGCTGGGGCTGGCTCTGGAAGACAATAGCCCATTGTTCTCCCAGCTGCTGGCATTATTTTGAGAGTTGGAGAAAACTTTAGGAAGTGGGGATGGGGGTGAGTCCAGGGCACGTATCTTGTCCTTGGCCTCTTCCTCCCAACTCCCTCTTTTTCCTTCCTGTCTGTCTGTCTGTCTATCATGAGGTTGAGAATCTCTTCCACCACACTCTACTACCATGATGGTTAGCCAGGCCACCATGGATTGAACTCTCTGAAACTGTGAGCTGAAATAAACCCCTCCCCTCACAGGTTGTTTCTATTTGGTATTGGGTCACAGCGATAATAAACTAATTGAACAGAACCAGTCTCTCAGTACTTTCTTTGGCTCTGGTAATACATGCCTTTGAATAGATCCCAGAGAGCAAGGTCCTTAGAACCAAAGACAGTGGCTCCCAGCTGAGCAGGAGGATTTAGGGGAAAGAGGACAAGCTGTGGGTTAGACCAGCCCCAAATGTGATGATGCAGGGGGTTGAATTATCCTCATGTTATTCTGTGACGTAACCCTGGTGTTTGGTAACCTCACCCCGCTGCAAGACCTGCTCAACACCGTCAAATCCCATTCATTCAAGGTCACCAGATGGTAAATCAGAAATGACAAAGATCCTGTCTGAAAGGGCACCCCCCAAGACCCACCTGACTACACAGCACTGAAGCAGCTGTAAGTGCACAGCCTGAGAGAGACTGAGGCCTCATCCCCTCCTTCACAGGCCGCCCTATTCTTGGGAAGAGGTGGCAACAGCCGCAAGTAGGCCCAGGCCATCCAGGTCACCCACTCCAGTCAAATGTTTCTCCCCAAAGATCCACTGTCAGCAGAATTACACCAAAGGAAACATGGACAGGGTACATGCCCTTGGACATTTCCCCACTGTGCTTCTTGAACTTAAAGTCCACAGAAAAACTGGTTGAATATAACTTGTAAATTCATCCCTCAGGCTCATTCTTCGTCGTCTGGCCTTCCTTCTCAGTCACAGCCTGTCTCTAAGGCAGTGGAGTGGGTGGAAATGGAGGCTATACAGACATTTAGGGTTTCCCCATACACTACACAGGGGCTATTGGAAGCTCCAAGCAGATGTGGACCCCTCCAAGAATTCAGAAGAGTCACCAAGACTTTGGATAAAAACCACACATCCCATACCTTCCTTTGGGCTGGCATTTTCTCATGCCCTTCTAGACAAAGACATAGGTACCATGTATCAAGTCTGCATATCAAAAGACCACAATTAGATTTGCCCAGCCCAGCAGAGAGCTGGATCGGGAAAACTGTCAGGCTAATGTGTATGAACCCAGCACTCCCCTGCCTAGGGATTTACAGCATCACCTCTGTGGAAGAGGACACAGGGGTGGCTCCCCAGGACTTATAAACAGTGGTACTTAGACCTCTACTGGGTTGGCCTAGGTATGTTTTCACCTACACCAACTTAAAGCAGGAAGAGAACGGGGCTCTAATGCTAGTCAAGGCCTCTAGCCAATAGGACCCCAGTATTAAACAGCTATTGACTGGTTATGGAATGTACCTGTGGAAGGGGTCATCTGAGACTATCAGAGGGGGAGGAGGATTCATCTCCAGATCTTAGCAGCGAATCTCTTCAGCTTTACCTGATACAAGTCCTCCTCTGGGGAACTAGTACCACAATAAAGATGATGTCCCATTTTTCTGTGGGCCCCTGGGTCATCCATAGGTGTACCTAACTCCTTACCAGCCAGGTTTCTCTGAGAAATGGGCATTCTCCATCGAGTAGATATATGTACAGTGTCTTGCCCCTAGGGGTATCCCCTTCTTTAACTACTGGGGACACAGAGATGTCCTGGTAGCCACCATCCTCACACAATAGCCCCTTGTGCACCCACGGGCACTCATGAAACTGAGTTCTGAACCAACCGAGTCAAGGACCAGGCCTAATAACCACCTTGATATGGAAACAAGTATACGCATCATCTCAAGTTCATCCCAAGCCTCAAAAACCATATACAGACGTGGGCCATCAAAGGAAAAGTGTGCAAATGACCATACAGCTCTCCACATTTATAACCCTCAATACCCAACGAACCATCTCCCCACCCCGCTAGAGTCTGTCACACGTTAACTGTATCCGGCATCTTCCTGACATCCAAAGTCGTCTCCACCGGTCACATGGATGGATTTGCACATGCCGCCACCCCTTCCGATGTCAGAACTGTGGACCACTGATCCCCCCAAAACCCCAGACTTACCGCTGGAGCAGTCAGGGCCACCCCATCCAGGTTCACAATGGCAGGTATCTGGAGAGACGCAACGGCCGTGCATACACTCCTCAGTGCACAGGGCTGAAGGCGTGGGACAGAAGAAGAGCAGACAGTGAGACCAGCCATCTGGGCACAAAGCAGAAGCCACTTTTCACGGGTCCCTAGTGCCAAGGATGCTCCAAATGTATCTTTGGTTTGGGGGATAAACATCAAAGTTAATAGGACTTGAGTTGTTCAGCTCGAAATGTGCCTGACAAGAGGGCATGGGGTCTACCCCAGCCTTACTTAAAACGAAACCCCAGCCTGAGGCAGGGCAGCCTTGGTTTTTTGGTAATAGCTCCTTCAGACACTAGAGATGCAGCTCAGTAGATAGAGAATTCCCAACACCTTATAACCATGTGTGGTACCACATACCTAATCCCGGCACTCAAGAGGTAGAGGAAGGAAGAACAAGAATTTAGCGTTATCCTCAGCTACAATGTAAATTGGAGGCTAGCCTGGATTACATTAGACCCTACCTTAAAAAAAGACAATCTTTTCAGGCTGATGTGGTAATACACACCTATGAGCCCTGGACTCAGGAGTATAAAGTTAGAGGATCAAGATGAATTTGAGGCCAGTCTAGGTTACGTACGCGTAGAGAAACCCTGTCTCAGACAGAGACAGAGACAAGGGGATAGAAAGAGTTACAGAGACAGAGAAGAAAGAAAAAGGAAAAACTGGGGTGGGATGGTGGAGAGTGGTGACTGGGGAGATGGCTCAGTAGTTAAGAGCACTTGCTGCTCTTCCAGAGGACTTGAGTTCATTTTCCAGGACCCACACCTGGCAACTCACAATTAACTTTGTAACTCTAGTTCCAGGGCATCCACTGCCCTCTGATCTCCGCTGGCACTCACATACGTGGGGCATATGTTCCCATAGACAGATACATGCCCACATAAGTAAAAGTAAAATAAATACAAAAACTCCAGAGTTTGATTTGTGGAGCTCATGTACAAACCAGAGGCCTCTACCACTCCCCCAAACTCTGGCCACATTTGCTCAGCAAACCTGCCCTCTCCATCTTTTGCTGGCCCCAGGTTCTCCTCATGAAAGTCCCTCATGTAAGCAGGCTGCCTGGCAGGAGCAGGCACTGTGCCCCCACCTTCCTGCCCCCCTCCTCAAACATCCCTATTTTGGGGTTCTCAAATGTCAGCAAATCTGCAAAGTATACAAATGCTGAGGGGAAAAAGCAACAGCTAATTATAAGAAAGTAATTAAGAGAGACATCCACGATGATGATAATTGTAATTAGAAAGTGCCTGGCAATTTCTTATCACGCAGTCAAATGCTACAGCCCCGGAGCCGCCAGGCTAGGCAATGAGCAGTTTCCATCCGCCGCACCGGCACCGAAGAGTCTTATTGACAGCCAGTGTGAGGAAGAGAGCTTATTGCTCTCCTTTCGATAGAATCCACATTTCCAAGGTCACCCTTTGCTCCCCAAGAGACCTGCCCACCACCTAAGCCATCAGCCAAGCATTACAGAAACCCCCACATGCTACCCCAACTAATTTTGCCAGCTCAGAAAATCAGCAGCTATCATCAACCCTGTCAATCTCCCAGGTGGGCTTGAGATAAAGGGCTCTCACTCTGAAAGCAGTGAGAATCCATCTTGCTGTCTGCTTCTGGCCTGGGCTGAGGAGCAGGTAGCCTCCTGGACTGAGTCTGGAGGGGCTGCCACTGACCCACTGCCTGTTCTAGATGCTAACTGGTGTGATCATGGGATGGTTGGTGTGGAGTCTTCTAGCCCTCCCCTAATGCTGGCCTTGGAGCTACTGCTCCTATAGTTACCGTCCTAGCTCTGTCTAGGTCCCCAGATAGGGAAGACCCTGGGAGAGCCACTTCAGATGGCCCCAGTTAGAGGTCTCCAATCAGCCTGGCTTGTGCTAGGGACCTGTAGAGCCCCAGTACTGGAGATCCCTAGGGATGGCTTCCCCAGCTCCCTGACTAGGGAACTGGGCTGAGCCTGGATCTGGGAACCAACTCCACTTAGAACCACAGTGACCTGCTCACTGGGCACTACCAAGACCCTAGCCAGTCACCGTTATGCCAAGGACATTCGGAACAGGTTCAAATAGGCCTATGTCCTGGAACACACAGGAAATCAGGTGCCCGTCTTTTGTTCCCCATCTCATGACAGTCCATTGGGCTCTGCCAGCTCCCAGTGAGGGCCTTGCTACTCTTGCTCCACTGTCCTTATAGGCTAAGGACTCTGAGATGCACAGCTGGGCTGGTGTAAGTCCCAGACTTTCAGCTCAGCTCAGCAAGGATAACTCCAGCTGTTTGCTTCCTGAGTGCAGAAAGCACAAACTTTGACCCTGGGGTCTCTGCCAAGGTGGTGGGAGCCTTCCATGAATTCTAAACCTGTGGTGTGTTGGGGATGGAAGAAACCTCAGAGAAAAGAGAAAATCATATCCAGCCCCCTCATTACATGCAGGGAGAAACTGAGGCTGTTTTACAGCCATCTCCCCCATCCTGGCTAAGGCACAAGAATGTAAGGTTGAGCACGGAGTGCTGCCAGCTGGCCCTGGGAGGCTCAGTGAGAGCTGGGGACAGGCCAGGGCTACAGTTTCCATGCCCTGAGCACCCTGCAGGGGGAGGGGACAGGGGCTCTGACCACCTGGAAGGAGGAAAGAGAAGAGCAAGGTCTCAGCTGGCTTCCTGACTGCCTTTGCGTCTCTCGGATTCCAGACACCCGTGACATTTGCCTTACCCCTTGCAATCCCTGGCCAGCAGGAATGGCCGTTGGGTATTCTGAGCAAGCTATACACTGCACAGCCTTCTCACTTGGTCCCTTCCAGGTCCTAGAGACCCAGGGTACCGGTTGTCAAGCGCCACCCCAAATGCTGAGCCATAACCCCCAGCTTAGCCCTGGGTTTAGAACACTACCACCAACCCACACATGCCGAGCAGCCCCTCGCGAGCCCCAGACCCGCTTCCAGGGATGTGGGGGGGGGGTCCCTATTCCCTATGTTCTCTCTAGACCTCACTATCCTTTTTCTCCCTCGTCCTTCTCTGTCGACCACTTTTTAAAACCTCAATCCGTTCATATTTCATAGGTGTTGTTTAGACAGATGTTTGAATCCTGAAATATTGATGACAAACACTCAGAGCTGAGATTGCTAGAGCTGGCATTTGGGCCACTGTTTGAACACCTGGAGAGAGAGGAGAGTCACCTGAAGGTTAGTGAAGTTAAGATACCATGGCAGCCTAACTCCAACCCCAGGGTCCCAAGTGAGCCAGCGGTAAGCAGCCCCTCCACAGAAGCCTGGGACTTGCACGGGAACTGCCTCTAGAGTAACAGGTTCCTGTCCCCCTTCCCCAGATGCCACATGGCTGAGCTCTGGAGGGACCAGGTTAGGACCCTGCCATCACTGACTCCCGCAGCTTTACAGGAGGTTTGTGATCAAGTCTTTCTTACCACGGCATGTCCATTTGCCCACGAGCAGGGACCCCAAGGCAGACTGGATGGGAGCAGCTTCACGTCAAGGGGAGGGGCAGCACTCCCGCTCTCCAGCCCAACGGAAAAGCCTGAACTTCTGCTCTCTCAGCCCCGCCTCATTGCCCTCCCATCCAATCTTGCTCCTAAGCATCTTCCAGCTTCCTGGCATGCTGGGAACACTGCTGCTGAGAAGCAGGTTGGTGGAGCTAGGACACAAGGTCCAGAGCACAGGGGTTTGCCCACAGGTGTTAATTGGTGCCTCTGCCCACCTCTGTCCCTGGGTCAGCCCCCCATTCAGTCGGAGATGGTGACAGGCTAGATCTCACAGGCTGCAGGGGTCAAGAGAATTGATAAAGGCTCAGGGCATAGCAAGTGCCAGAGAAGCCTTGCTCTCACTACTGGCAGGGTTTCCTTGGGCCTCGTGGCATCATCTGGTGACACTTGAGCCCTTTTCAACACACACACACACTCACACACACCACACACACACCACACACTCACACACACGCCACACAGAGTTACCCTCATCCTTTATTGTGGTTCATGGTGGGTGGTTTGCAGGGGTCCGCTGTCAGATCCCTGGTGGGAAAGAACACCATAACCTAAGTTTAAATCTGAGATTTACCAACTACTATTGCTCCACCAGTACCATAAGCAAATGACCCCTGCCCTGTCTTGAGAACAATGGTATCCACCTCAGAGTTGTTGCAAAGATGGAAATGTTAGGGGGCTGGCGAGATGACTCAGTGGGTAAAGCCTGGCAGCCCAAGTGCAACCCCTGGAACCCCCACAGGGAAGGAGAAAGCCAACCCCCATAAATGGAGCTCTGACCTCGCAAATGCACCGTGGCACATGCATGCCCCTTCCCATCGCATTCTATTAAATAAATAAATGTAATTCACAAATAAACACTTAGGTGAATACCCAGCAAGTATTAGGTGTCCAGAGAACAAGAGTTGTTGAAATCTCTTCACAGTCCCACAATATTCTGTCTGTCTGTCTCTCTCTCTCACACACACACACCACACAGGATCATCACATATGACTGTGCGTGTACACCGTGAGATCTGAACCCCTTTCATTCCCATGATCATCTCACACACAGGATCACCACACATGCCTGTGGGTATAGACTGTGGGGTCTGGGCTGGATGTCAAAGACAGATGACAACTGCTTCCATTTGTTGCCACTTCCTATGGGAAGGTTTCCACTAACCCTTCCCATGCTTTTATTTGTTTATTTGTACGTTTTCTGAGTACCCACTACATGCTGTGCCTGGAGATTTTCACCTGAGTTATCTCAACCTTGTACTCCATAGTTTCATGTCAACTTGACACAAGCTCAAGTCATCAGAGGAGTGAATGTCAATTAAGAAAATGCCGCTATAAAACTAGGCTGTAAGCAAGCCCCTAGGGCATTTTCTTAATTAGTGATTGATTGGAAGGGGCCAGCCCATTGTGAGTGGTGTGATCTCTGGGCTGGTGGTCCTGGGTTCTTCTAGAAAGCAGGCTAAAGAAGCAATGGGGAGCAAGCCAGTGAGTAGCATCCTCCATGGTCTCTGCATCAGCTCCTGCCTCCAGGTTCCTGCCCTGACTTCCT